TAGTAGTAGTAGTAGTAGTAGGAGGAGGAGTAGTAGTGGTGGTAGTAGTAGTGGTAGTAGTAGTAGTAGTAGGAGGAGGAGTAGTAGTGGTAGTAGTAGTAGTGGTAGTAGTAGTAGTAGTAGCAGCAGAAGGAGTAGTGGGAGGAGTTGGCAGGAGGAGGAGGAGGACTTCAACCGGCCAAGTGGCCCTAGATGTAGTTTAGATGAGGTACACTAAACCCTAATTCCAAAATCCTAAGAGCGATGAAAACCCACCAATCTCCCAGGAATCCAGCCAGCGGTCGCGCAGCCGCCTTCGTGCAGTACACGATGTTCATTGTCATCATGGCTGCAGCCGCCCGGCGGGTATGTATTGAGCCTGTTATAGGGTTTCGGGTTTAGGGCGGGGTTTTTGTGGAGGGGATGGATTTGTTGGAGTTTTGGGGTTTTGGAGGGCACTTTGGTGGCTTCGGAGATGGGAGCAAGTTTGCCTTGTTTCGCAGGGCGGAGGTATTGGTTTCTGGGGTTATTTGGTGGGGCACGGCTTTGGGATCAGGGATCTATGGGGGGCTTGAAATGAGACACACACTCTATATATATATATATGCATGCATATGTATGTATGTATGTATGTATGTATGTATGTATGTATGTATGTATGTATGTATATATATATATAATACCAGCAAAATAGGGGCTATCCGAAGCTCTGCGAACGTCCTACCGAAGCCTCTGGTCTCAGGTGACATGCGCCATTTGTGAGACCATTCCAGAGATGGAGCATGAGTACATCTTCCACATCCTGGACCCTGGAGTTTAGGGTTTAGGGTTTGGGTGAGGGGTTTGGGCTTGGGCGGTTCGAATCGCAGGGGATTGATGCCACTTTTCTTGCAGTGCGACCCGATGAGATAGAGCTGCTGGGCAGCTTCGTCTGCGTTCGCAGGCCTAAGACAAGCTTGCACTAGGAACCCGTGTTCACCGCTGTCTTCACCTTGGAGATAAGCACTCGATGGTGGGTCGCAGATAGCAGCTTGGAGCGCAAATGAGACGACATTCAGGAGTCGCAGTTGGAGGCTTTGAGGCTATGTTGTCTCCCTCTGTGAGGCTGCAAAGCTTGCAAAGGGGCTGGGAGGAACTGCATGCGGGCCGGTGACATTCTACTCTGAGACTAAAGCTACTGGAAAGTCCAGAAAGCATCCAGAGCTTCTATCAAGAGGGTTGTGTTGCAGGAAGGATCCAGGACAAAGTGGCTGCGAGACAAGCGCCCAATGCAGCATGTTACAGAGCCGGGCAAGGGCGTGATAGGGCCTTCGAGCCCTCGGCTAAGAAGCCATGCCTCAGGCAACTGGGACTTCTTCGCCAGCCCCTTCAGCATCATCGACATGCTCGCCACGCTACCAGGAATGCCCCCCCTGAACTGAAAGACCTGCAAACTTCACTGGAGGGTCGCAGAATGTGTTCTAGAGTTCTGAGGTGAAGCTTGGCGTCTTCAGTTGCACACAGCCTGCAGTCATTCGGACTGCCAGGCTACGTTGACATAGTCCTTCCCTTGATCCTGGACGCCGACAACGAGATGGCGCAGGCCAAAAGTCCATTGAAGGGCCGTGCTATATAGAATATAGTATACTACGCTGATATTGTATCAGATGCTATATCAAACTTTAATATACTGTGAGATAGTATATTATGCTATATTGTACTCGAGTGTACCATGATATGCAGAAAGATGATCCAATCTGCTATCAGCCGCTACAGCCCAATCCTGTGGTCGTCTTGCAGCCGAATCTGAGATGTTGCCGGGGAAGCTTTGGTTTCTTAAAGAGTGCCCCAGATGTGTCGTACTCAAGTCTGGTGACAAGTGCAGATTTCATGATGGTCATGGTTGCCTAAACCCTATAGGAGCCGAACCTCAACCCCCCTTTTGAAGCCCCAAAAAAGCTGAACCCTGGAAGCTCTAAGCCCCAATTGACTTAAACCCAAAACCCTAAACCCTCAACCCTAAAACCCTAAAACCCTAAACCCTAAATCCCTAAACCCTAAACCCTAAACCCTAAGCCCTAAACCCCTGTGGCCCAGAGATTCAGCCCTCAGGCCGAAAAGCATAAGCGCATCATCAGCATGAGCCTTGGGCCGCCAAAAATTCAGCCCCAATACCCCCCTGATTAACATCGAAGGATGTTCCGCTATGAACCCTAAGGCAGAAATACAAAGCCCCCGTAGTTTGAAGTTGCTCTTTCTGATCGTTGGGTATTTGAGGTCCCAAGAGACCGAAGCTTCAAGTTGCGTTGCAAGGGTTGGGTTGCCAGTCAGGATCGTTGGGAAATAGATGGAGGATCCGAAGTTCTTTACCCCTAAACCCTCGACCCTTTAAGCTTGTTGATCGATTAGGCCGCTAAGCATCCAGGCGGTCTCTGTTGGATGTGTCTTCCAGTGGATGAGATTGTCTTGTCTTGCAATTGGTGTATGCCAGTGTTTTGCGTGCAGTTCTGAAGAATCCGCACGCCGTTCTGAGCAGAACTTAAATCCAAACCGGTCTCCAAATCTCTAGCCGAGACGCTTCAACACCCAAAGTTCCACGCCCACCTCCCAACCCCACTAAATCTAAAATAGCGCAACTCCCACATCCCAGGAACTCTCTCCGGGCCATCCGGCTCGCCGACTTGATGCGAATCGTTCGGCTGCTGCGGGTGCCCGGGCCGTGTTCAACGAGTTTGAGGCAATAGCCTATCACTACTGCCACCGCCGCCACCACTTCTGCCTCCACCACCAAAACATCAGCATCAGCGGCGACAACAGATTCGACACTCTCGGTTTCGACGACAGCAAAGACTCCGACGACGGCACCGGCGACGACGACGATTCGACGACTGCTGCTGCTTCTAGTGCTCTAGTATCAGAACCTCCAGGTCCAGGCATAGCAGACTTAGCGCATGTCGAGCTGCGAGTTTCCAAGTCAGCATGAAGAATCACAAGCTTCAGGTCTGAAGTAAGTCAAAAGCCGCAACATTTTCCAGCACAAGCGTGGTGCAGGAACCGATGTTTGAAGTCTTCAGGTGCAGGTAATCCCTGAGCACAAAGCACAAGCACCCGAAGCCGAATTTCGGAGAAGTCCAGAGAAGCAAGGTGCTGCGTGTGGCGAACACAATGCGGCAGTGGGAGATGATCAACGTGACGAGTCGTCATGTCTATCTCAGGATGACCAGTCAAACTGTTCAAGCTATAGACAGCAGTGCACATGCATAAATACGTGTATATATGTATATATACACACATGCATGTGTGTGTATATACATTCATATGAATATGCTGTAAGTACACACTTACACACACATATGTGCGGCCTGCCTGCCTGCCTGCCAACCTGCCCTACCCGCCAACCTACCTATGCACGTACGTACGTATACGTCCACACCCGTACACGAGCTAGGTGCTCTGAGATGTTGCCCTGTTGCCCAGGGATAGCAGGGTCCGGTACACTCTCTGAATTGGCTTCATTGGCAGTAATTAAATCGGCGCCTTTCCGCAGTGTAGGGCTGTTGGGTGTAGGACGTGGGATTGCCTCAAGCCGACCCTTGATCCCCACGCCACCTGCATCACTGTGATTATGATCATCATCATTACAAAATCATCGCCGTCATGGTCACAACGGCCCCCCAAGAACGTCCGCTTCCCAAAGCTGCATAGACGCCCACTGGGATGAGTTCCAAACTGACCAGGGACTGAGGGGGTCTCCTATTTCGACACGCCTCCGGCCCGATGCCCCAGAGCCTCCTTACCAGAGGGTTTAGGGTTTAGGGTTTGGGGTTTAGGGGTTTAGGGTTTAGGGTTTAGGGGTTAGGGGTTTAGGGTTTAGGGGTTTAGGGTTTTGGGTAACATCCTGGATCTTCAATTGGATCAAGCCTGATACTATAGCGCAAACCTGGAGTTAGCCACCTATTCAGAACCCCCCGACACCCCAAAAGCCGAACCTCCAATTTAACAATTTAGCCTTCGTTCCCTAACGCACAAACATCCACAAATCCGAGACCCTAAACCCCAAGCCCTATAAAAATCCGAAAGCCTAAAAGCCTAAACCCCAAAGCCTAAAGCCCCAAGCCTAAAGCCCAAGGTGGTGCTCAAGTCGATCTATGGCTCACTTCAGGGCATTCTCGTCCTTATCTCCTTCACAACAGTAGGCTGGAGAGTGTTGTCATGATATATGTGTTAAGAGGGTTTGGTTGTAGAGGGTTTAGAGGTTTCATAGGGTTCATAGGTGTCAGGTCTTGTCGGACGTCTGCTTGTTTGCTGTGGCCTCGGGCTTTTCCAGCACTTCCTCAAAGATGCAGTCTACTTCAGGCTGCTTCGGGCTCAGGGCTTCGGGCTCAATTCAGAGACCCTCTTCGAGGCTGGGGCTTAGGCATTAGGGGGCTTACGCTTTAAAGGAGGTGTGCAGGTTCCGGATCTCGGACCTTCATGCTTCGGAATTCTCTCCCTGCCAGAATCTGTTTTGCAGAGCGCAAGTGCAGTCAACTGTTCATGTTGTCTGCGTTACTTTGTGTGTCGCACTCGTGTCGGCAGTCAGGTTCATTTCTGGAATGTCATTTCATACCGTATCATGCTATGCCGCATAGTGTAATATGCTATGATATGTCATGATATGCTACACCGTTTCTACCTCGCCTCGGCATCTTCTGCTTCCAAACTCTGAAATCTCGTGGGCTTTAGAGTCGTTGTCCTGTTTGTTTCAACATCAAAGTCGGTGAGTGTCATTAGCTCCCCAAACCCTGAACCCTAAACCCTAAACTGTTGAAGCCCGACCTCCTGCTTGATCCGATGACCCTCAGAACCACAATCCACAAGCACAGATTTCTGCAGGGACCATTCTTTCAAGCACCGTGGCCTACGTCTTCGAGATGGGCGATGACACCAAGTTCACGTCCATCCCAGTGCTTTGTCAGAAACCGTTTACACGGCTCAGCGAGTTCACTCCCAGATCTTTTGAGGGTCAGGCGAAGCGATTGGCAGTGCAAAAGGTGTTCTACAGTGACATAATCTATCGTACAGCTCATTGTGCCTGCTCTGCAACGTCACTCATTTTCGAGCTCCTTGTTTGCCAAGACTGCCACGAATTCCAAAACCCTAAACCTCCCTGCTCCAGGCAAGTATGTGGTGGGCGGCGTCCACAATAACCGCTGTGGGCTATGGCGACCTGGTGCCTTGCTTGATCGTTCATGTGCGGCAGCAGCCGCAGCAGAAGCGGTAGCAGTGGTCCTATGCGCGCACACACGCACACATCAGCATGGTATGGCTGAAGCATGGTACACGCAGTCTTTGCACATACACATCTACACCATATACAAACACCAGCAATACCAGAGTATGTCCTGCGAACACTGTTACGTCAAGTTCTGAACTAATCCGCTGCGTAAGGGTATTTTTGCGCATAGGGTAGTAAGATGTACGCAAGATGGAGTGGTACATAGCTGTGTAAAGATGTACGGTACTGCGCAGTGCAAGGTGGAGACTTGCAAGTTGCCCGCACCCATGTGACGATAGTCCTGCTCACGGAACGACAGAGCACCCCGAAGATCTGAAGCAGATCGAGAAAGCTTTGGCTAGAGACTTGTTGGAATGGTAGCATGTGTGGATGAAGCTCTAGCAACTGGTGAAAAGCATGTTTTGATGTGACGATGATATTCCGGGTCCGTCGCTCGGGCTTTTCCCGAGCAGGCCCTTGCGCCTGGGAGTGTTGGGGTTCACGGTAGGCTGAGCCAGTGGAATCGAAAGCAGGTGCCACGAACCGTAGCGGGAAAGCTGACGGCGGTCACCACCATGCTCTTTGGCTTTAGGTGAAGGGGTCCGAGAAAGGTGGCTTCAGTGGTTTGTCTTCTGGTGTGGATCCTGGTAGTACAGCACTTGGGAAATACAGACACATCCACAGCATCGGTGTGGAAAAGACTAACTCACGGAGGATGGATCCGGTGTCTGGGTGAACAGATGCGTGTTCGGTTTGGACGGGCGAACACATGAGTTCTGAATTTGGAATCCTAAACCCTAAACCCTAAACATCCCTAAACCCTAAGGCCCTAAACCGGCCGAGGTTTCTCGGAACGATTATCATGGCGGCCACTTGTCGGAGTTTACGGGTTCAGGGGTTCAGGAGTTCAGGGGTCTAGGCCTAGGGATTCGGGGTTTAGGACGAGACTTCTCCGCGTGCGTCGGAGGGCCTCTTCTTCCTCTGGGGTCGAGTTGAACAGCAGTTTCAGGCACTTGAAATCCCTGGGCAAAACGTTCTAGCACGGAGCCCAACAACAGCCGGGTACAAAGCCCATGAAAAAGTTGCAGGTCTCTCAGTCTCCCAGAGAAGGGAAGGACAATGCAACCTGCAGAGTTCCGGAGTACGCCCCTACGCTCCTCAGTAGTCCTTAAAGTCTTCAACCTTATGTCCCGAGCTTGCAACCGCAAGCTCTAAGCAGCAAGCCCTAAAGCGCAAACCCTATGCACACCCTACCCCCAAACCCTAAGCCCTAAACCTCTGAAAACTGTGAACCCTGAACCGACCCGGCTCAGTCGGTCTGTTTAATAGGTTTCGGGTCGTCGCTCGCAGCTTTGTGGGCTCGGGTGAAGTCGGCGACCGTTCGTAGACTCTTGCTGCTGCTGCTGCTGCTNNCTGCTACTGCTACTGCCGCTACTACTTAAACTCATACTTATACCACCGGTGTTAAACTTGTGTACTCGTGTTATTTTTCGTTCTCATGATGACTCACCCCAAGGACAGGCCCTCAACCCCAAAGCCCGGAATCCAAGCTGAGGTGTGCATTGC